GTTTACTGATGTGTTTGTTTCCTTTATAAAAAGGGACTATGTAGTGAAGAGTGTAAGGCAGTGTGGTTTACCTGTTTTAAACAAGCTTAAGGAGATTTTGGGCAGAGACGATGGAGTGTTCTAAATATACAATCCTGTCTGCAAATAGAGACAATTTGACTTCCCCTTTTCCTAATTGAATATACTTTATGTCTTTTTCTTGCCTGATTACCCTGGCCAGAGCTTCCAGTACTATGTTGAATAGGAGTGGTGAGAGAGGACATACTTGTCATGTGCCAGTTTTCAAAGGGAATGCTTCCACTTTTGCCCATTCAGTATGATATTGGCTGTGGGTTTGTCATAAATAGCTTTTATTATTTTGAGAAACGTTCTATCAATACTTAGTTTATTGAGAGTTTTTATCATAAAGGGCTGTTGAGTTCTGTCGAAGGCCTTCTCTGCATCTATTGAGATAATAATGTGGTTTTTGTCTTTGGTTCTGTTTATGTGATGGATTATGTTTATAGATTTGCAAATGCTGAACCAGCTTTGCATCCCGGGGATGAAGCCAGCTTGATCATGATGGATAAGCTTTGTGATGTGCTGTGGGATTCAGTTTGCCCGTATTTTATTGAAGATTTTCGCATCAATGTTCATCATGAATACTGACCTGAAGTTTTCTTTTTTAGTTGTGTCTCTGCCAGGGTTTGGTATCAGGATGATGTTGGTCTCATAAAATGAGTTAGGGAGGATTCCCTCTTTTGTATTGTTTGAAATAGTTTCAGAAGGAATGGTACCAGCTCCTCTTTGTACCGCTGGTAGAATTTGGCTGTGAACCCATGTAGACCTGGACTTTTTTTGGTTGGTAGGCTATTACTTGCTGCCTCAACTTCAGACCTTGTTATTGGTCTATTCAGGGATTCAACTTCTTCCTGGTTTAGTCTTGGGTAAGTGTCCAGGAATTTTTCCATTTCTTCTAGATTTACTCGTTTATGTGCATAGAGGTGTTTGTAACAATCTCTGATGGTAGTTTGTATTTCTGTGGAATTGGTGGTGATATCCCCTTTATCATTTTTTATTGCATCTATTTGATTCTTCTCTCTCTTCTTTTTTATTAATCTGGCTAGAGGTCTATCTATTTTGTTGATCTTTAAAAAAACCAGCTCCTGGATTTATTGATTTTTTTGAAAGGTTTTTTTGTGTCTGTATTTTCAGGTCTGCTGTGATCTTAGTTATTTTTTGTCTTCTGCTAGCTTTTGAGTTTGTTTGATCTTGCTCCTCTAGTTCTTTTAATAATGACGTTAGGATGTCAATTTTAGATCTTTCCTCGCTTCTCATGTGGGCATTCAGTGCTATAAATTTCCCTCTAGACACTGTTTTGAATGTGTTCCAGAGATTCTGGTACGTTGTATATTTGTTCTCATTGGTTTTGAAGAACATCTTTATTTCTGCCTTAATTTCATTGTTTATCCAGTAGTCATTCAGGAGCAGGTTGTTAAGTTTCCATGTAGTTGTGCGATTTTGAGTGAGTTTCTTAATCCTGAGTTCTAATTTGATTGTGCTGTGGTCTGAGAGACTGTTGTTATGATTTCTATTCTTTTGCATTTGCAGAGTAGTGATTTATTTCCAATTATGTGGTCAATTTTAGAGTAAGTGCGATATGGTGCTGAGAAGAACGTATATTGTGTGAATTTGGGGTAGAGAGTTCTGTAGATGTCTATCAGGTCTACTTGGTCCAGATCTGAGCTCAAGTCCTGGATATCCTAATGGAGTGTTAAAGTCTCCCACTTATATTGTATGGCAGTCTAAGTTTCTTTGTAGGTCATTAAGAACTTGCTTTATGTATCTGGGTGCTCCGTATTGGGTGCATATATATTTGGGATAATTAGTTCTTCTTGTTGCATTGATCCTTTTACCATTATGTAATGCCCTTCTTTGTCTCTTTTGATCTTTGTTGGTTTAAAGTTGGTTTTATCAGAGGCTAGGATTGCACCCCTGCTTTTTTTGCTCTCCTTTTGCTTGGTACATCTTCCTCCATCCCTTTACTTTGAGCCTATATGTGTCTTTGCATATGAGATGGGTCTCCTAAATACAGCACACCAATAGATATTGACTCTTTATCCAATTTGCCAATCTGTACCTTTAAATTAGGGCATTTAGCCCATTTATATTTAAGGTTAATGTGTGTGAATTTGATCCTGCCATTTTGATGTTATCTGGTTGTTTTGCATATTAGTTGATGCAGTTTCTTCATATTGTCGATGGTCTTTACAATTTGGAATGCTTTTGCAGTGGCTGGTACTGGTTTTTCCTTTCCATGTTTAGTGCTTCCTTCAGGAGCTCTTGTAAGGCAGGCCTGGTGGTGATGAAATCTCTCAGCAGATGCTTTTCTGTAAGGAATTTTATTTCTCCTTCACTTACGAAGCTTAGTTTGGCTGAATATGAAATTCTAGTTTGAAAATTATTTTGTTTAAGGATATTGAATATTGGCCCCCACTCTCTTCTGGCTTGTAGGGTTTCTGCCAAGAGATCTGCTGTGAGTCTGTTGGGCTTCCCTTTGTGGGTAACCTCACCTTTCTTTCCGGCTGCCCTTAGCATTTTTTTCTTCATTTCAACCCTGGTGAATCTGACAATTATGTGTCTTGGGGTTGCT